AATATTCTTAAAATCGAATAGAGATCGAAAATACTCAATTTCTACTGTTTTCTCTATGGTAGAAATACCCAGCGGAATGTGTCGCAAGTGGCTCCCGGTGCCGCAGAATATGTCGCAATTTGCGACACATGCGACACATTATTTTTTAGTGTGTAGAGGAAGCGTCAGAAAAACGAAGAAAAGTTATCATCGCTGTTCATTCTGTTACAAGAATCCTATGAAAAAGATTTTATGTGAAATCAATCAACACCAATATAATTTGCTTTTCCGACGTTACAATTGTCATCAGCCGCGTGAAAACGTTACCTGCACTATGCATCAGAGGTGACTTTTAGAGATTTTCATCTCCTAACATTTTTTTGCATAAACGTAACAAATGGATTATATATAATCAAACACGCTCCGAGTAACGTTTCTTTTTGGAAAAAACTTCGAAAACACAGTTCTCTGAAATCAAGCGATGATCAGCAACGTTCTGTTCAATTTGTTCATTACATCTTAAGATCTTTTGTAGATGGACGGACGTTTTGTCTAATGGGTAAATGCTGACAATCATAAAACCTTTGATTATATTAACTTTTCTAATAGATGAAGATTGAAATAATTTATACATTAATGATGAAAATACACGTTTTGATTGACTTGTTCATAACCGGATGTCTGACAATATTCATTAAGGGTTTCATGATAGTTTTAATCGCTTTGAAAAAAGTCACATCGAATGGTTGACGAACATGTGTTGACTTTGGCGATAAACATAATAAAACAATATTATTCCCCATAGTTAATTCAATTGTATGCACACTATGATGAGATCCAATACTGGATAATAGTAATAAAGTTGGTTTGGATGTTTTATCTGTGTATGGAATCGTCTTCCTGTATCTGACCGTTCAGAATTAGTAACTTACCACCCAAACACAGGGTAGTTTTCCATTCGAACAGGCGGACATCTGGTCTTTTGAGTTAAAAAATGATTATTTTCGCATAATATGGTCTTATTATGCGTCAGATGTTCATAAAAGTATCACATTAATTTTCAATAAAAGTGTTTCTCGGCTGAGAAAAATGTAAAATATCCGGAAAACAGACGGTTTTCTTGAAAACCTAGATCTCGGTCTAGCCGAAAAACTACATAAAATTGCTGTCATCACAGATTCACGCTATGTCGATGCACATTCTGTGAAATTTTCAACGAATTCAAAGCTTCGGAAAATTTCGGAAACTCATTACAGTGAACATAGTTCTCGGAAAAATCGCCTCATCTGAGAAAAAACTCTTTTCGCTAACAGACCTAATCCGAGACGAATGTTTTTTTACCAATAGATAAGTACAAGCGTCCTGATTCCAAATAACACATTTGGAAAATTCAAATATAATTCAGTTCAATAAAAATTGATTTTACGTAGAGGTCACGGATATATGATGTTCAAAGCTGAACAAGAATATCTGAGTTTGAACGTTCCAAGTTGTAACCAAGATTATGGAATAAAGGTCTTTATATATCTAAACGCCTATTCGCCATAGGTGTTACAAGCGAAGGGACTAAAAACAGGTCTCATTTTAGCAAAAACGTCAGGTGCTTTCTGGAGAGTCCCGGAGTCGAAAACCGAGTCGAATGATATACTTTTTTACGCTATCCGACCACCTTTGTGTTTTTCGAATGTTCACGTCGAAGAATTACTGAGATTTTCAGCAAAACATGAAAATCAACGAAAAATTTCCAAACATATATCATTCGATTCGGTTTTCGACGCTAACTCCGAATATAATATTTTTATTGCGTAAAAAAATGAGTTCTGATGGAGAAAATAGAGAATTACGGGCAGAATTCCGATTTTTTCGCTTCTGATTCAGAAAAAATGTACTTTCTCAGGAATGAAACAAATTTTTGAAAAAAGCAAGTCGTCATTTTGAAGAGCAGCATCCGGCGAATCTAATTATGTAAAAATATTGACTCCGGGACTCTCCAGAAAGCAGCTGCCGTTTTTGCTAAAATGAGACCTGTTTTTTAGCCGCTTTTAACGCCTTTGGCGAATAGGCGTTTAGATATATAAAGGCTTTTATTCAATATTCTAGTTCACTTTTCAACGCTGAACAAGAATATCTGAGTTTGAACGTTTCAGGTTGTAACCAAACTTAGAAAACTCAAATTTAAAAAGGGCGTGAAAAACCGGGCTTTTGACCTCTTCATAGTATTTTACAATTTTCTCAGCGAGGAAACGGTTTTGAGAGACCGGGAACACATATTCGTGATCAGCGCGCGATTGTCTATCGAATGGTGTGTAAAATATAGAAAACTAAATTCTGCTCGATCTTTGCCTTACTTGCATCTTATATACGACAGGGAAAAAATAGTTATAGTCAGTTTTTTTCAAGCTATTTTCCGTAGAAGACTTCATCTTACATCACGATGTTCCCGACTGTGGCATCACAGATCAAGGAACTCACTTCCCAAATGAATTCATCACTGCTTTCACCCAAATGATTAGAACAAAGCTTGTCTTTTCCACTGCATCTCATCCACATATAAATGGACAAGTAGAAAGGTTTAACGCTACATTTTGTCAACAACTATCAAAATATTGCTCATCAAACCACGAAAACTGGGACCATTATTTGAAATATATAATTTATGCATACAATAATACCAAACCTGCAACCACCAACTATACACCTTATGAAATTGCGTTCAATCGTCATCCTCGATTTTCTTTTGATCAACATCAACAAACTTTTCGCTTTTCTCGTACAAATGATTTACTAGTTGCGAATCTCTACGTGTAAGAAGTTTATACAAAATGTTATTATACAAATACAAAACTGCTCTGACTTTCACCTCTGACAATAAATAACGGAATCACTGCTCCCTTTTTTTACTGGTTAGATTCACCTGGAAAATGCAAAAACTATGTTCATCGGTTCAGACAGTATCCAAAGTCTGACTGAGTCCATTTCAAAAGCTCAAAAGCAATACAAAGCTTTTAAAAAATGTAATTTTTTCATAAAAAATAGTAAACTTTTGAAGTGGTGACCAAGAAACCAAAATAATCTTGAAAAATTAGCCCAAAATCGTTTTTTCTAAGTTATGTTCGATGTCTAATTCCAATAGAATAAAAAACAGATCCTTCCTCAGAAAAATTCTTTTTGAAATGGTTAGCCCTACTCTCTAAAAAAGAACTATTTTTAAATACGGGAAATGATATAACCATCTGAAGCACATCATGGCTGTTTAAACATTTTTTACTTTTATCAGAAAAGCCTTTTGAAATTTTTAGAATACGGAAAAGTCGTGATTTAAAAAACTTTAATTACTTTGAGATTTTGAAAGACCTGAAAGGTTTTTTGCGACGTGAAGAAACCGCAACCGTTTTTCAGAACTTAAGAAAACGAAAATTCGCTTTTTGATAATAATAAGAAACTTTTAAACAGTTATGATATGATTCGAATGATTAAGCATTTTTCACGGATGATTATTCCTACTTTTTGGTTTTTTTTAAATCACTATAACTTTTTTAGGGTTTTTGAAATACGTTTTAGAGTGTACTAAAGGGGAACATTGTCGCGCAAAAGTTCTTGTTTGGAAAGTGCTTGAAACATTAGCTTTAGACATCAAACATAACTTAGAAAAACTAATTCTGCAAGATGATTTTTGTTTTTTTGCCAAAGTTTTAGTTTCATGCAAGTGTTTTTGGCGAATGATTTCATTTTTTTCTTGTGTGAAGGTATGAAAAGAATGAAATCTTGAATAATCTTTTTTCTGCTCTGTTTTTTCTTCAGTTAAAATTCAACAAATCGCCAGTGATTGATCATAACAAAAAAAGCAATCGAAAATAATGTGTTCGGTACCGATACAAAAACAGATATACGAGAAAAACTTTTACAACTAGTTATAAAACAACGTGAATTGCATTTAGCTGTATTTAATAAAGTATATGTGTTGCTGTAATGCCGTACTCTCTTATCGTTGTGACAGTGTAATCTCAGTATGATAAGAGAACAAGAAAATGGAGGATTTTTTTCTCGATGTCGTTGCTATTTCTGTTTTCACAGCAGAAGGACGAGAACAGAAAGGTGAGAGAACACCAAGGAGATTTATGTTACATTTACAAGGTAAAAAATCATTGTACTTGTCTCGTATGGGAGTGGATCGTTTTTTTTTCGTATTTTTCAAAGCTTCAGAATAAATGGTTTATACTTTGGTAAAAAACGAGTAGTAACACTTTTTAAAACGGCAGTTTTGTAGAGAAAACATTTCTCTACAAGATGGTATATAGTAATTAATTTTGAAGTTTTTTGGTTTCTTTAAAAAGCGTTTTTGATAGAGAGGCGTATCGGTTAAAGACCGCGGTTGTACGAAGCGTAGGTTTGAGGAAAACGCTTTCTAAAGAAACAAAAAACTTGTAAAAATACTTTCTGTATACTATCTTGTAGAGAAATGTTTTCTCTACAAAACTTCCGCTTTAAAAAATGTTGCAACTCGTTTTTGCGAAAATACAAACAATTTTGTATGAATTTTTGAAAAATCCGAAAAACGATCGGGTGTATTCGTAGTCTCGTACACGCCGTTTGTAAGGAAATAAGTTGTTTCTCTGTATCTGATTTTTTGTATAAAGTGTAGTGATTAACGGATACAAGGAGATTGCACAAGACTCGATTATTTTAAGCATGAGAGACGGAAATATTGCTGATGATTTCTGAGGAACTAATAGTATAATAATAACCAACTTCAGCATTTGTGTGTTTATTTTAACCAAGTTTCAATATTCAAAAGCCAAAGTCTTCATCTACATCAAAAACTTACTGTCGTATTTCTTTCCTTTTTACTTTTTCATTAACTCGATATGCTATGATTTGATTCATGTGTAAAAATCCATTATAAAACGCAAAAATAGTTCCATCAACCATTATGATTTTATATTTTGTTAGCATAAATTCGATCAGAAAGTTTTGAAGTACCCGGATCTAATCTTGTGAAATTTATTTTCAATTACAGAAAAATGGCTTCGTCATCGTCAAATATTAAGTGCAAAACATGTTTGGATGGTGTTATTGAATGTAAAGGTTGTAAACAAACATTTTGCGATGAACATTTCACCGTGCATAGACAAAAACTTGCCGTAGAACTTGATCATATTATCTGTGATCATGATATATTACTAGAACAGCTATTCGAATCATCACTATCATCGTCGGCAAATCAGTCTTCAGAACAACCCGTTATGGATGCAATTGATCAATGGGAGCATGAGATGATCGTGAAAGTCAAACAAGCTGCTGATGTAGCAAGACAAAAGGTTTTTCAATTTTGTAATAAAATCCATGAAATAGTAAAAAAAGATTTTCGGTTAATGGCGAATGATATTCGAGCGAAAAAATTGACACAAAACTTTGCTGAAACCGATTTACAACGATGGAAACAACAATTAAAACAATTTCATCATCTTATAGTCCCAGCATCAGCTTCGATAACTGTCTCAACAACGAAAAGTAACAAAATTGATTGGACATCATTGATCGAAATAGAAGAAATTGCAGATGTGCAGCTAACTAAATTGCCATTAAAAGACACATTTGATTTTAGTCAGTTAACTACAGTAAAACCAAGATTAGTACTTGATATTCCCTTTGGGGAATGGAGTTTGTTTGGTGTCTCATTCAATTCCTTTCTTCATTATCGACATGAAGCACCAACCGGAAAGCTCTGGTTAATGAAGACAAATAGCGATCAAACTGTAATAAAATGGAACAATAATAAAATAACCGATATGTGCTGGTCAATATATCTAAATCGATTCGTACTACTTGCGCTCACCAAAATCTATACCTATGATGAACGAACAAATCAAATTCAGCAAACATCGTTAGAATCAAATGATGTGGACTTTTGGAGTTGCACTTGTTATGATCAAACATTATTAATAAGTTATGGAGCATGGGGAGTTCACGTAAATGAATTTAAAATGGGAAATACATGGCAGACGGTCAAACAATGGAAAATAAAACCTGATGAACTAATATCAGTTATTAGATTTTCGTCAAATAACAATTATGTCGGACTAGCGGTGGAAGCTCATAGTCGTAACTGGCACTTTGAACTGCGAAATAGGCAAACAACAGATGTAATTTGGACAATTCAATTAGATAATCATGATAGACGACGATTTAGAAAACGTCCTTTTGATGCTAAGAAATGAGAATTTGGCGTAGATTTTACTCACATGTTTTTCTTTAAATAAATATTTCCTGTTTTTTCGTAACATTAAAATTATGGAAGTGACAAAAACATATACTGCTCAACTGAAAAATAAAAACTTTTGAAAACAAATTTTTGTCCTGCTAACACTAGTTGAGAAATTTAGTATTGGCTATAAAAGATGCAGAATTGTTGAGTGTATTTAGTAGTATGCCTGTTTTGATATGCTTATTTATTTTTGCTTACGGATATTCAAAACATTAACAAAGTATATGTGGAGTGAGATGGCACATTTTGTAGTTGTTTTATATGATCGAAAAATACCGTCTCATAATTTAGTTTTACACCAAAAAAATGAAGCATTTACTCTAGTTTTTAGTGCCGCATTTTAATCATGCAGAAAAACTATTTAACAGCTAAAAATCACATTTTATTCTATGGAAGTCCTGAGCAGCAGATGTGTTTGTGACTTCCAGTAATTTCAATGTTACAGAAAAACGGCAAATATTTATTTTAAGAAAAACATATGACTAAAATCTCGGCAAAATTCTCATTTCTTAGCATCAAAAGGAAGTTTTCTGCTTAGATTTACCTTGAAGAAAAGTCGCTGCAAAAGCCGGCAATGTAATCTGAATCATCCGTTAGTCTAAGACACACGGACTGACCTTGAAATCTTTGTTCTGTGTGCTTTCAATAGTATCGTCGCAGGCTATTGATGAAAATGGACGGTCTTTCATCATAACAGTCCAATTTTCGATTAGTTCGCCTTTCAAATACCGATGCATGTACGTGATTTCGTACAAATGATGAAAGCCCATCCATGCGTAGTTCGCATGATTGAAGGCAAAAAATGGAATAAAATGTCGCCACTGTCCATTCCGTGTTTAAAATTATTTGTTCTTGTAGCAATGTATAATATAAATATTTGTTTCAGTAGTTTATGTAATAAACAGCCGTAATATTTGAACATGATGTTCAGTTTCGATTCTTTTCTCTCCATTTATTAAAACCGCCTATTACATCCATCATGTGTAATATTTCTCGTGATTATTTATACGTATCTTTCATATTCGTGTTGATATTATCATTATTTGTTTGGTGGTTCCATCAACTGTATCTTTCATGTTGTTTATAACGGATGTTTACATCGGTTCACTTATTGGATTCTCCTCAACGAAATTTTCAATTTGTAAGAGAAGTAGTGTTGTAAATAACAGTGTGTCAGCACGAAACGCACAGTCCACATTATAAACACCCACAATTCCGACAACGACGGACTGATCATACAGAACTTGAAATATATGCTCGATGTCTAAACGGAGAAGAATACTTAGTACTATTCTTGAAGACTATTTATACAGGACATGCACTTTTCAGGTAAGAAGAGAAAGGCCATCGAATATGGAAAGTGTTTGTTTTTTCGGGTAATATTTCTGGATCAACTTTTCACTATCTGAGCCTCTAATGAGTTTTTCAATAATTTCAAACAAGTTTTTTGCCAAATGCTAGTAACTGGGATTATGAGCTAGTGACCTGTTTTGAAACACTTGTGAGAAATTAATAGTCCCAGAAAAATTTTTACGAGGTTAATGGAAAAGGCGATATATCAGTGGATGCGCCAGATCAAGGTGAACAAGAATATATAATCAGAATTTTTCGTCAACATAATAGTGAAAAAGTGAAGATGACAAGATTCAGTAAATTTTCAAGTTTTTTGGATTTTACTCATTTATGCCATTTTCCAGCTAAAATTGTTTTCTCTGTATCTCGCTATTGGAACGGTTTTGTGAGCTGGAATTATTATCATAGCTACAACTCATCAAGCTCTACAAGATTTTAGCCAATTTAAAATATTCATCTGTTTTTGTGGTAGAAACCCCATGGACTAGGCCATATGTATAGTTTGCTGAGTTGCCTTAACATGAAAGAAAAAATATATCTGATACTCCACGATGTTCAAAAGTGTGCAGACATGAGTTGTCGAACAGGTGAGAGCTGTCCAGTTATCGTTATCTAGATAATGCGTATATAGTGTATAAATGTGTCCTTCAAGATGCGATAACGTAACTCGCAGCATACATTTAGAGTAAAATTTAAAAGAAAATACTAATTTAAGCAAATAAGAATTAAGAGAGTACAAATTTTAAGAATTTAAGAGAAAGAAGAGAATCAGAGTTTAAGGAAATAGGGGAAATAAGAAAATAACAATTTAAGAGGGGTGTCAGAATATCAGTACACAGTGCATTCCCAAAAACAGGCCGTTTTTTTCAAACTTCGTGAGCCTGGTGCATTCTTATTGACAATACGCAAATGTTGCATAGTGGCTCACTCTCATGCTGCATCTCCCCGCCCCCCCTCCC